CGCCATCTTGTTTCTTCCCTCTCGCTCGGTGACTGGGGGAACCGACAGCGGCCGCAGGCCCGGAGCGCGGTCACGTGAGCTGCGCCGCCGACGAGCCTGGGACGGAGCGAGGCCTCGCGGCGGCCGCTAGGGGGAGCGCGGGAGCGCCGGGTCGGGGGCGGGGAAGCAGGGGCGCCTCCGCGCGGCGCGGCTGGACCGCGGACTCGGGCGGCGCGGCGGAGAGGGGCGCAGTGCTCGCGAAGTGCCCCGGGGCACTGGCCAGGGGAGACCACTGCTTCTGCGGAGTCCCCGCCGGCGCCTGGACTCAGCAGATCCTCCCTCTCACGTCTCCTCTTCCCCGGCTCGGAGAGGAGGGCAGGAGCGGCTCCATACTCGTCCCCCTCCCGCCCCCTGGGGGAAACTGATGCTGAAAAGAGCCAAAAGGTGTCCGGAGGGGGCCGCCTGCACCAGCGCGAGAGGGAAATTAACCGGGGCCCGGGGAGACGAGCCCCCAGAAATGTGAAACTCCTAAGACCTGGTTCTAGACAATCCTAAAATTGATCCCAATGACAACTACCCAGGGGCTGTGCCAGGAACCACGCCCTGGGCTGCCAGACCCTGAGGGAAAGTCGCTCTGAGATTCAGTGGATAAAATCCCCACCTGAAGAGTCTCAGCCGGAACGCAGCTACATTCCAGTCTCCTTCCACCTTTCCCAGTGTCCCAGCTAGAAACTCGACCACCTCGGCAAGAACTTTCCAATTTCTTATTAGCAGTAGAAAGGATGACTTCCCGCCTAAAACCTAGTTCGAAATGTTGTGTGTTTGTGTTATCTTTTCTGGAAATAATTTTAATTTCTTAAAAGTCACTAGATCTCAGCTTAGCCCAGGGAACGAATCATGATGATGAAGTGTCAGGCACCGCCAGACCAAGTCAGGTGTTCAACTCACAGGAATCAAGGTCAGCTCGGGATTAGAGAAAAGTTTCATACATATATTAATATCTATCAAGGGGCGTATGGGTGGCTCAGTCGGTTAAGGATGGGACTCTTGATCTCAGCTGAGGTCTTGATCTCAGGATCCTGAGTTGAAGCACTAAGTTGGGATCTGTGCTGTTCCTGAGGACTACTTAAAAAAAAAAATCGAATATGTGACAACCAAAAAGTGATATATATTTTTAATGTTTTTATTTATTTTGGCGGGAGAGAGAGAGACAGAGCACGAGCTAGGGAGGGGCAGAGAGAGAGAGAGAGAGAGGGAGACACAGAATCTGAAGCAGGTTCCAGGCTCTGAGCTGTCAGCACAGACCCAAGGCAGGGCTGGAACTCAAACACGAACTCATGAATCTCGAGATCATGACCTGAGCCAAAGTCAGGTGGTTAACCGACTGAGCCACACAGGGGCCCCCAAAAAGTGATTTAAAAATAGTTAGGAGGATTCTGTCCACCAAGTGGCTTAGTACAACCTAATTAGAAGAATAGAACACAAGTGAAATGAAAATGAAAATACAAGCATTAATTGCCAAGTAAACTCAGTATAATTCTATTTCATCAAGGGTGGCAAATTTATAGGCCTTCAAGGACCACGTAAGCAAAGAAAACAAAGCGGGCAAAGTGAAGACTGGCAAATGGAAGAGCCTGTGCTTTGTTTACAGAGGGCAGCTATAGAAATATGGGTGTAAGATAGCCAGATCTTCAAATTCTTCAAGAGAAGGTGGAAGTGTGCATTTCATAGGAAATCTCTTGGTTTATATAGGGCAACCAAGTCGATTAAAAAAACAAAAACACGGGGCACCTGAGTGGCTCAGTTGGTTGAGCATCCGACTTCAGCTCAGGTCATGATCTCATGGTTTGTGAGTTTGAACCCCGCGTCCAGCTCTGTGCTGACAGCTCAGAGCCTGGAGCCTCTTTGGATTCTGCGTCTCCCTCTGTCTCTCTGTCCCTACCCCGTTTGCACCCTGTCTCTCTGTCTTCTCTCTCAAAAATAAACATTTTAAAAAATTAAAAAACAAAAAACAAACCACTTCAGACTGGTCAAAATAAATGCAGTTCAGATATAGCCCAGAGTCTACAAGTTTGCAACCTGTATCCTTCACTATGTAAAGCACAGCATTCTGGGACATCTGGCTGGCTCAGTTGGTAGAGCCAGCGAAGTGCCAAAAGTTGGTAGACTTCTAATTTCGGGGTGTAGGTTTAAGTCCCACATTGGGTGTAGAGATTTCTCAAAAACAGTCTTTAAAAAATAAAATCTTTAAAAAAAGTTTAGGGGGGGCGTGGGTGGCTCAGTTAAGCATCCGACTTTGGCTCAGATCATGATCTCACAGTTCGTGAGTTCGAGCCCTACCTTGGGCTCTCTCCTGTCAGCGATGAGCCCATTTGGCATCCTCTGTCTCCCTCTCTCTTTGCCCCTCCCACCTCCCCCCCCCCTCAAAATGAAATAAACATTTAAAAGAATCTTTTTTTTTTTTAACGTTTATTTATTTTTGAGACAGAGAGAGACAGAGCATGGACAGGGGAGGGGCAGAGAGAGAGGGAGACACAGAATCGGAAACAGGCTCCAGGCTCTGAGCCGTCAGCCCAGAGCCCGACGCGGGGCTCGAACCCACGGGCTGCGAGATGGTGACCTGAGCTGAAGTCAGACGCTCAACCAACTGAGCCACCCAGGCGCCCCTAAAAAAAATCTTTTTAAGCACAGTGTTTTATACACTATAGGGAATACAAAGATAGTAAAACTACGGACAGCCTTTAGGGTTTGCAAGCTAGTAGTGGAGGAAGACCTTTACAAAAAAAAAAAAAAAAAAAAATTAGATGCCATAAACCGAGGCTGGTTGGTTGTTTTTACGTAAGCTCTATGCCCAGTATGGGGCTTGAATTCACAAGCTTGAGATCAAGAGTGCCATGCTCTACCAACTACGCCAGCCAGATACCCGAGAGGTATTTTTGTATTACTTGGAGGTTTTAGTTGCAAGCAATGGAAACTGACTCTAGCTCATTTAAACAGAAAAGGAACTCCTGAGAAAGATACGAACACCTCCAGAACTGCTGGGTCCAAGTATGAATGGAATCCACGCTCTCGAGCTGTTGTCTTCCAGCTGGCTGGGTAGCTGTATTCCATGGACCATTCACTACAAAACCAGTTGTCGGGGTCCCCAACAGGGCTAGGAGTTCGATGGGACAGCCAGTTTCGTTCCTCCTTTCACTGTTTAGTTCCTTGGTCAGATGCTGTTTTGGACCCAATGTTTGCATACCCAAAAATTCATATGTTGAAACTGTACCTCCCAATGTGATGGTATCAGGAGATGGGGCTGGGGTGCCTGGGTGGCTCAGTTGGTTAAGCATCCAACTTCAGCTCAGGTCACGATCTCACAGTGAGTTTGAGCCCTGCATTGGGTATTGTGCTGACAGCTCAGAGCCCGGAGCCTGCCTCAGACTCTCTCTCTCTCTCTCTTTCTCTCTCTCTCTGCCGCTCCCCCACTTGCACTCTGTCTCTCCCTCTCTCTCAAAAATAAATAAACATTGAAAAGAAAAAAGATTCCCCAGACTATGGTAATTTGTCATAACAGCCCAAAGTGACCAAGACAGGTGCCATGATGTATGTGTAAGATACCGTGATGGCGAATAAGGTCTGTAGTAAACGCATCTAGGATGGCGACGGTAAAAGCATTGCTGGTGGGAAAAGCAAATCCAAATTCAGTGTAAGCCTCTTCCCAAAGAGGCTTGACTCACTGTACCCACCGTGATAGAAAGAATCCATTCTAATGATTCTTGCAAACATGGGCACTCAGCAGTAGCAACGGCCAGGTCAGCCTCACCGAGGAGAAGCCCATGTTTGTGTGACCCCAACAAACAGGCATTAGCTTGACTAGAAAAGGAGCTTGATCTACAACCACAAGGCGGGTCTTCTTGTCCACCAGCTTTAACCTTCTTTAGCCATGGGAGCATTCTGGTAAGTGTTCATGCAGGACACAAACGCTCTTACTTTCTCGGTCTACTCTGAGAGGTTCGTCTATGTTCTCTCACTCAGACCTTGTCACCAATCCAAGTCCCTGACCACCTGCCCATGAATTGGTATAGAGTCTTTCTCCAGGCAAAGAGGACCACAAGAATACCCCTCAAAGCTCTACCCACTGGGCGATTCCCTTGTGCCATTGTCTTTCCAGGACCATTTGCAAGCGCAACTATAACCCCTTAGCAATCCACTCCCGGCTGACACCATCTGTAAAACAAGCTCAAGGGACCTCCTTCGTCACATGGTCATAGGAGTTTCCCAGGAGGCCGCAGTTGTGAATTGAGGGAGGGTGATAGTAAAATGTGAGTAAACATATGAGGAGTTGCACGATTGTGTCTTCTCCAAAAAAATGCTCAGGCCTGCTCTTATATATTCCACGTCCTCTTGAGGAAGGGAGGACTCCTGGGCACTTGATGGCCAATGGGGACAGATAACTCGGCTTATGATAAGCCATGTAGGTTACATGGTCACCTGGTACTCCAGGGCCAGACTGTCGATCTTGCCAGGGCCCAGCAGCAACTTAAGAACAGTTTCCAGAGGGGCACCCGGGTGGCTCAGTGGGTCACGCATCTGACTCTTCATTGCGGCTCAGGTCACGGTCTCACAGCTCGTGAGTTTGATTCCCACATCCGGCTCTGTGCTGACAGCTCAGAGACAGGAGCCTGCTTCAGATTCTGTGTCTCCTTCTCTGTCCCTCCCCAACTTGTGCTCGCTCTCTCTCTCTCTCTCAAAAATAAACATTAAAAAAAATTAAAACACAAAACAGTTTCGAAAAAGGAGAATGGCTGTTAGCCAAAGAGAGCAAGCTTTGCTCCAAAAACCCTAAGCACATCACAGTGATGCTCTTTTGGGGGCTTGCCACAGGCTCTATACAGCATCCCAGCATGTGGTTGTTCACGGAGCACCAGTGGACCCACTGGGTCATGAGGAACCACTTAGCACAGTTCCTTGCGCTGCAGCCTAGATCTGCTGAAGAACCTTTTGCTTCGTGCTGTTGCTCATCGTTAGCGAGCTTCCGGGTCATTTAGAAAATGTGTTAGGGGCGCCTGGGTGGCTCAGTCGGTTAAGTGTCCAACTTCGGCTGAGGTCGTGATCTCATGGTTGGTGAGTTAGAGCCCCTCGTTGGGCTCCCCGCTTCGGATCTTCTGTCTCCCTCTCTCTCTGCCCCTCCTCTGCTCAAGTTCTCTCTCTCTCTCAGAAACAAATAAATAAATAGAAAATGTGTTAAAGCAGCATATATATAAACGTGGTATATATTTGTCTTGTGAATCTAAGAGAGTCGCCAAATATTCAGCACTGTCGGAAGAAAGCTCCACACCCCACAGTCAAAATTTTCACATCCATTGTATGTTCTATGGTTACAGCCATTCAGTCTTCTAAAGACTTGCCTTTAATTCCAGGTGACGCATATTCTGTTGAATTATTTTGCCGTGGGGTGTTTAAATCTCAAATCTCGGGGCGCCTGGGTGGCTCAGTCCATTAAGCGCCTGACTTCGGCTCAGGGCACGATCTTGTGCTTCGTGAGTTCGAGGCCCGCGTCGGGCTCTGTGCTGACAGCTCACAGCCTGGAGCCTGCGTCCGAGTCTGTGTCTCCCTCCCACTCTGCCCCTCCCCTGCTCATGCTCTGTCTCTCAAAAGATAAATAAATGTTAAAAAATAAAATAAAATAGAAAATAAATCCCAAATATTAGAAGCAGCATTTTCTCTATCATCCAGCTCAAAAGACTCTCCAGACAGTCACAGACTATTCCCACCCCATTTCCCTGAGAGTCTATAGACTTCATCCAGTCTGGTTCCAATTTCTTTATCCAGTTGGGTTCTTGGTTGTAAGCAACAGAAACCAACACTGCCTGATTGAAGCTCACAGGATCTCTGGGAGTGCCCAAGAACCAGACTTTGAGTATGCAACCAGGAAGTGCAAAATCAGGCTGGCGATAGCCTGGTTGTTGCCTCCTGGCACAGGTCCCAGCTTGTCCTGGTAACACACCGACACTAGGCCCCGGGCACTGCCCCACAGCGCTGCCAGCTTCCAGTTCCGAAGCTGGGATGTGTGTGCGTGAGTACAGAGTCTGGCTGCAGGGAAGGCCGGGAGGGGAGGACCTGGGTTTCAGCTCCCATAATGTGAAGGGTTCCTTCCCCCGGGGAGGGGATATAGACCGAGGGAGATCTGACACACAGAGAAAGAAGTCAACACGAGTTGACTTGGACTTGAGTGACTCAGAGAGTGATGGATCACAGACCTGCTGTTAAGACTCAGAAAGTCAGCACGGGCGCTGCTTTAGGAAGGAAGTGATTAGCTCTGTGACCTTAGCTCACTCAACCCTTGTGGAGCCCGGGTTTCCTCATGAATAAGTGAGGGGGACTAGGTTAGACCTGTGCTTTCCAATCCTTTCACATGACAGCATCCAATGGAACTAGAGGGTCATTTCAGGGGCATACTGCATTTGTAAAAATAAAGTGTTCTCTTCCTAAGTACAATGGTACTAAAAATTAAACTTAAACATATAGCGGTAGATAGAAGATATCAAACAGTGAATTTGTAACGCTTCCCCAAAAGCCCTTTTTTGTATTAAATGAGAAACTTGAATTTGAATCCCGGGACCTAACTTTATATTCTCAGCTTTGTGTTTTAAATAGCTCTTGCAATTCCTGATCCAGACGCTTTAACAGTGATCTCTTTAAATGACAAGAAACTGTTTGCAGCAGTAGGTGATAAAAAAATTGAAGCGTCTTTTATAACCGTTGCAACACTTACCACGGTAGAAATTATACTTCAGTTATATTTAAAGCTCTTCCTTTTCTTTCATTGACAAATGCGCCCATGAAATTTCTTGTGGATGTTAGAGCCAATCAAACATTTTCGTGGCTGGTATTTCCAGATAACAACGAGACACAGGCATCATTAGAATGGTCACCTCACGGCTTGTACATCGTTTGCGGCACATCAGCCACAGGCAAAATTGTCCAACATAAAAGAGTGCGAGGGGGCGCCCGGGTGGCTCAGATGGCTCGGGTCACGATCTCGAGGTGTGTCAGCCCTGTGCTGGCAGTGGGGAGCCTGCTTGGGATTCTCTCCCCCCACCCTCTCTTCCCCTTGCTCTCTGCCCCTCCCCTACTTGAGGTTTCTCTCTCTCTCTCTCTCTCTCTCTCTCAAAATAAATAAACGTAAAAAAATAAAAGTACGCGAAGACAGTTTCTGAGCTTCTGCGCTAGGATCTTCACCCCTAC